GGCGGAAACTGCTCAAGAGACTCATGCTACTCTCCCATGGCAGCTGGACCCTCAGACAGCTACGACAGGAGAACAGAGCTCATCTCCCCACATCACCCTTTTTCTCAGTTTCTGCAAACTGCCTATTTGGCACTAAGGCAGCCAAGGTACAAGAACCTTCTCTGCTCCACCAGCAGTAGGGACAGGAGGGCTTTTGTCCCAGCAAAGGATGGAAGCATCACCAAGAAGCCCAGAGTTGCCTGCTAGAAGAGCAGCCTGGAGCCTTGTGATGTAGCCGAATGTTGCATAAGATCACCCTCCTCTCCCAATAGGGCGCGCACACCTATCCTGCCCACCCACAATCCCAGGTGAGGCTCTAAGGAGTTTGAATGCAGAATGAAGGCAGGGAACTCTTGGGAAAGGCTGTCTATCTCCCATAGCAAGCAGGATGGCAACAGATGCTAATGTGAACATGAGTAAGTTACCTTGCTACACAGAAAGCTTCTATCCTGCGCTGGGAAGGCCGAGACACTTTTCAACCTTAGTGAAAGAACAAATTCTTTTTCCACTGGTTTGTTAAGAGGCAGTGGATAAAAACTCTCTTAAATAGTCAAAAGAACTAAAGGGCGGGGGAGCGGTTTGAGAAAGCTTCCTCTACCTGTGAGAAAAACAAAAATCCTGGATTTCAAGCAGACTATGAGGAACCAGAACACAGCTGTGTACTCAGGAGCTTTAGCCCATCTGGAAAATGGTTACCTTTGTCTCATTTACTGACAAGATACTCATGCCCCTCACCTCCCATTTCCTCACCATACCTCTGTGAGCCTCAACCCTCCGTTTTGATGTGATGTTACCCTACAGTCACCCTGCTGCAGAACAGCCTACCCTGACACTCCAGTTATATAAGACAATACCTGGGATACATAGAAAAGAAAACAACAAGTTTTTGATCAAATTTTGCGCCTGGCACTGGAAAAAAAAAAAAAAAAACACTATAATTCAAACATGTTGAGATTCACTTCTGCAGGTTGGGCTTGATGGAAAAACCTCCTGGGAAATCTGTCCCTGGGTTCCAGTGAGAACAGCTGAAATTTACTGTATTCCTCTACATATAAACAGTGTCATTAGACTTGCACTTTTAAAAAATAAGATCAACTGAGGCCTGGGCCAGGCTCTGCAGATAAAGTAGTAGCTTATCTCTTTTATATATAAATTACAAATAGTCCTCACTTCAGGTAATGTAACTGACAAAGTACCTGCACACACACAGCCCCTTGACTTTCACAGAAAGCCCGGGAGCAACCACTCTATAAGAAAGGAATCCTACCTCACAGCAAAGTAGGGGAGGGGGCATATGGCCAAGATAGCCTAAAAGCGGGAAAAGAGTCATTTGGAGTAAATACAATAAAAAGGGATTTCAAAAACCCTTCATATAAAGGAACAAGAAGGTTAAAGCAAAAAACTGGTTCAGAAAGATGTACAAGACTGTTGGAGACCAACAGAAAACTCTGCCAAAAAATAACTTGCATTTAAAACAGAAATCAATGGCATCACACAACTTCTTTGTTAAAAAAGGAAAGTGGAAATCTGTGTAAAATCAGCATTTATAAAGTTATTAGCTCCAGAGACCAGCATAATTCCCATGAAGTCCTGATGGAAGGGGGCCTCCTGCCACAAAGAGTTTCGTTCCAGACGAGTCGTAGCAGTGGGTGTAAACAGCATTTGGGAAGAAATTAATGTCAGAAAAATAATTCCTCCAGGTTTCATCATGATTCTGTTAAAGGAATGTTCAGATCATTATTGTTGCCACAAAGCCCAAACAAAGCTGAAAAAAATTTTGGATTGATACATTCCAAAGTTTCTAAATAGATACTTTGGAAGATACTTTACAAAGCCTAAGAATTCTTCTCTATCAATATTCGTGAACTATATTCTGAAGCTTCAGACAGAACAGTTTCAACTAGAAGATATCAGGCACTTCCCAAAGCTTTGTCTACGCAATTTTATGCCAATTATTTTGGCTAATATGGAGAAATGAAAAGGTATCCAGTTTCGTCAGTTTTAAAAGCTATATCACAATGATAGAAAAGGGAGATAATTTGGACAAAGCCACTAATTGCTTTAAGATAAGATACAGGATTCAAGTGCATTCCACAGCACTATTTCAAGCAGCTAAACTTTTGTAAACTGTACACAATTATCTCCTTTACCTTGAGGACCATGTTAGATTAGCACATCTTTTTTTTTTTTTGGGGGGGGGGGGGGGGGGGGGA